TTTTTTAAAAAAAAAAAAAAAAAAAGGTCAGCTTCATGTGAACTCTTGCCTTTAGAAAGTTAAAAAGAAGTCTGGGACATTTCTTGCCAAATTTGAACTGTGGTTAGTTATTATATAGGTCAAACAGTCAAAGACAAAATAGAAAGTAAAAAAAAAAATCTGCCCTGTTGATTAGCAAAGTTTCTAGGTTAAAGGCTAAACACCACTGCTGTAAAGGAGAAGTCTGATAGGGGATTCACCAAGGATTAACTTGTCCTGTATTTAAAATAATGCTTAAACTTAAACACAATGCTGCTTTTTGTGTTTTAAACAAAAGTGAAACAGACATAATTTCATATCTCTGCAAATATTGTAAGATGCTTTTTACTTTGGAAGTGGTAACTTAGAGGCCCTGGAACAAGAGATGAAACTTCTTCCCTTATAGGGATGGCGACATCATAAGGATGCTCAAGTTGAATCAAAATCCATGAAACATTGAACAAAGAGGAAAAGTTTGATTTCTTGAAAGGGTTAGCTTCTCTTCTAAAGTCTGCTGATTTTTATGATGCCCAGATGTTGCCTTTCTCTTGCTGCTGGTAAGCTGAAGCAGACATCAGAAGAATATTGAGAGATAGAAAATGAATTGGAGAAACTAAGTAAAGAACTTATTTTATGAGAACTTGGAAAGCCCTGGTTACAGTTCAAATTATCAGAGGGTTCTGCCTTCTCATTCTTCTGTGCCATTTAGTAATATGTACTAGAAGAACAGCTCCTACTGACTGAAGAAGCTTCTTTGTAGTATTTTTTTTGTCCCGTTCCGTGTACAATGGGCGCACAAACTAATGAGCACATCTGTGCTGCTAAGACAAATGAATATATCCCCACCAACTTGTTCCGCTTCCACCACTTTCCAGTCTAATACTCTGCAGCTGATCTTGTCTGTGGATAGAAAGGCAGCACTTTGCTAAAGCAAGCTACAATCCCACACATGAGTTCTGTAAGAATCTGGAATTGGCCAGTGTCACTAGCTCACTAAAAACCCATATAAATACCCGTCAGATTTGTGACTTTATGCTGGGCCAGTCAGAAGAGGGGAGAAAACCCCCTGCAGTTCTGGCTGGGGTTGGGTGTGGGGGTGGTGCTGGGACAGGGGCAGGGGCAGGGGCCTCGGCCTTCACTTCTGCCCTCCAACCCCCCACAGCACACCCTTCCCAGCAGTTCAGGCTGGGTTGTGGGTGGGGGGCAGGAACAGAGGCCTCTGCTTCTCCCCTCCCACCCCCAACAGTTGGCAGGGGATGGGTCTGGGGAATGCAGCCCTGGTTGCGCCAGTCAGCAAGGGAGTGGAGAAAGCCCCCCAACAGTGCACCCCTGCAGTGGGTATGATTGGGGGCCCAGGGAAGGGTCCTTTGCTGCCCCCCCCATCTCCTCTGTGTGGCCCAGCTGACAGAGAAGCAGGACACAGGGCTGGGGAGCAGAGGCTTTGCTGCCTCAGCTCTCTGATAACCTAAGGACAGAAGCATGCAGGCAGAAGCTAGCCTGTCTGCCCTGTGAGGTAGGAGTTAGGGGAGTAGCTGCAATGCATCCTAGGTTGCCAGGAGACTGCAATCTAACTTGAATTGGGACAGGATTTGGCTCAGAAGTTCAATAGACCAGTCTAACCTAAACTTACACCCAGGGAATTAGGTGCATAAAAATTCAAAGTTATACACAGGAAAACTCAAAATTATGCAGAATTAATTACTTTATATATATAAATAAATAAAAATTACAAATTAAACTAAATATAACACTGTTTGAACCTTGTTTAGAAATATATGCAGGTACTTTGCATGGTTGCGGGGTGTGTGTGGGGGAGATTTGTAAAGGTGTGGGTGTGTGTTGGGGTTGGGGTGGGTGTGGGGGGTGTGGGAATATGTGGGGTTTGTGGGCATGTGTAGGAGTGGAGGGTTTGTGGGGGGTGTGGGTATGGGGGTATGTGGAGTTTCTGGGCAGGTGTGGGGCTTGGGGTTGTGAAGGTGTGTGTGGGGGTGTGCGTGTATGTGTGGGGCTTGTGGGCAGGTGTGGCTATGGGAGTATGTAGGGTGTGTGGAGGGAAGGAATGGAGTTTGTGGGGGGGAATCCCCCACCATACATTTTCCCCCCTCCCCATGAAGCAAAGCCCCCACCACCAACAGTTCAACAGCAGCAGGCATCAGACAGTGGCTCCCATACTGCAGGCGGGAGCCATGCACCGTCGGGCTAGACGGGCTCCGTGTGTCCATGTGTGGCTTCCTGCTTGAGTGCTGGAAGTCCCATATGGAGGCACAGAGCCAGCCGGCCCAGTCCGATGGTGCATGGACTGGGAGCCACATGCCAGCCAACTGGCTGGGCTCTGTGTACGTGGGGCTTCCAGCACTCCAGCAGGAAGCCGCATCTGGAGGCAAACAGGAGCCTGCCTGGCCCAATGGCACATGACTCCATGCCTCCATGTGTGACTTCCTGCCCAGCCTGATGACATGCAGCTCCCAGTCCATGTTCCATTGGGCCATGCCAGCCCTCCACATGGGGCTTCCAGCCCTCCAGCGGAAAGCCACACATGGAGGCACGGAGTCACATGCTATCAGGCCGGGCAAGCACCTGCTTG